TTTGATTTATAACCATTTTTTTTTATTGCTTTCGTAGTTATAGATCGTAGTCAACTAAAAATCAACCATCTTTTGTTACATTTGCGAATTTAAATATATCGAAAATTCTAAAATTGAGCCTTATTCCCTGTGGGATGATAACTCACTCATCACGATTATTACTTGTACAACGAACTCGTACGTTTGCGAGATTTTCGCGTAACAACTCGTATTTATAGACAGAACGACACAAGTGTCGTTTAACGGCCTTTGTGTTGTTCTGTTGATTCAAGAATTAAACTTAGCTTACATGAAGGTGACTTATTGTCGGACGCATCGCAATATAGGAAATTGATTGGAAGGTTGATATATCTAACTCTCACTAGGCCAGACATCACATTCATAGTACACAAATTAAGTCAATATATGTCTCGGCTAAGGCTACCTCATGTCAAAGTTGTTCATCACTTACTTCGCAACCTGAAAGGAAGTCCTGGCCAAGGAATCTATTTCTCTTCAGCCCCTGTTATGCCTGTCAAAATTCGAGCCTTTTCTGATGTTGACTGGGGCTCATCCTTGGATACACAAAAGTCTACTACTGGGTTTTGTATATTCGTTGGTTGCTTGGAAATCTAAGCACCAATCTACCGCCTCTCGTTCATCTACCGAGGTAGAATATAGGGCCCTTATAGCTACAACCAGTGAAATTATATGGATCAAGCAACTCTTGACAGATTTTCAAGTTGAAGACAATTATCATGCAGTGATCTATTGTGATAATCTTGCTACTATTCAGATTGCAAATAATCCAATATTTCACGAGTGAACAAAGCACATAGAGATTGATTGTCACTTCATTCGAGACAAAATTACAGCTGGGGCAGTTAAATTGCTTCCAATCAGATCACAGCATCAGCTTGCAGACGCATTCGCTAAGCCTTTGCTTGCGTCAACACTTACTCCATCAATGTCCAAGATGAAAAACATTTATTGCACATCTTGAGGGGTCATATATGACCATATAGTTGAGTTAGTTTGCCAGCTGTATAGTTAGTTTACCAGCTGTATTTTTCGTTTCCCTTTTTCCCGCCATTTTCCTTTTCTCTTCTATTTAATGTACAGGCATTTCACTTCTTCATTTGAGATGAATAATATCATCAATTCAATTATTCATTCTCTCAATTGTAATAGATCTCGATTCAACTTCTTCATATGGTTCAAGTTTCGCCATATTTTCTATAAATTGATGAAAACCCCATATCACGATTTTTCTAGGTTCATTTCCACGAGGGACTCTTTGTAAAAGAACGGAAGAAGAAGACGTTAGAATTAGAAATTGGAGAATAGGGTTTTACAATGGAATCGAAGAAGAAAAAACGAGGAGAAATGGGGGAAATTGGATTGAAGGCGATGAAAAGGCGAAGGTAGAAGAAGAAGTTCAAATTGGAGAAATAGGTTTTCACAGTGGAATTGGGAGAAGGAAAAACGAGGTGAAATGGGGGAATTGGGTGATTATTTTGCTATCAATTGAAGGGCAATTTTGTCATTTCACTAATAATAATTTTTTATTCTTTTTGTGTGATTTTTTTTAAGATGGAAGTGTCCTTTCTCCAAGAATTTTGTCCGATCCGACTGTTTGGCCAAATTCTTCTTGGATCCGTTTAATTGCAAGAATGTAATTTAGGTGAAAAAGAAAGAATTTCAAGAAATTGAATTGTCTCGAACTTATTTTACTGAAAATTGTCAATTAATTATGTTTGATTGATATAATTTTTCATCTGAAAAATATTGAAATTTTGAATCTTTTGATTTTCGTTTGACTTTATTTTCCATGAAAATTGTCCATTACAGAAATATAATTTGTTATAATTGGGAATAAAAATTATTTCCATTGCCCAAAAAAATGGAAAAAATTGCCTAGAAAAAGCTTTTCCCACCAAAGTAGTGGGAAAAACTTTTCCTCCAAAACCAAGAAAAATGACCAAAAAGGGGGTTGTGTGGAAAATCATTTGCCAATAAAATTTTGCCTATTGAACAAGCAAAAATGTGAAAAATGAAAAACCAATTTCTACTTCCACGGAAAAGCAATAGTATCAAACAGGGCCTTAGACAAAAGTACTTGGAATTAGATAACATGCCAATTTCTCACATAATTGCGTTTATCTTCGATCATCTTGGATTGCTTTTCTAAATGTAAAACTAACACACTTATTGCACCAGAAATACATATATTTCACAATAGATCACAAGCCTTTTACATCCAGATTAGGAGACTATATACACAGATCCATATTCGCCCACTCCCGTCTACGTCTACATATCAGATTGGTGCGCGCATTGCGTGATAGGGTCCAAAGGATGAATAGGATAGATTTTATCAAGCTGAAGCAGCAGCAGCTGCTTTGCAAATGGGAAGATCCTTCTCAACATTTGGTGGGATCCCAAGAATAGGATTGCTCTCAAAGAAATTGACAGGCTTCAAATCAAAGCTTGAGGTTACAGTTGGCATTATGGGAAAATCTTCTTGACATGGAATGTGATGAAATCCTAATGTGTACCATAGGACAATGTCCTTGTTCTCAACTGGTTCATCCCTGACACCCAAAAAAAAATTAAAAAAATGATTAACCAATATAGAGACATGCATTGATGTTTTTGTTCTGAATGAATATCGGAAATGGATACGAGGAGACAGATAAAAAACTTTGTTCCAACCAGGCAAAATCATGTAATGTTGATGAGCTTCTCAAAGATACTAAGGACTCGTTTGACATGATTTCTGCTTCTTGTACAAAAGTTTTATGTAAAAGTTGGTCAGATTCCTCTAAAAGCTATTTTAGTAAACAAAGCTTTACCAGAAAATTATCTAAATATGTTCAAAATCAGCTTCTTATCCTCATAAGCAACTTTTGACTTTTTGAAATCCCTAAGATTTAAAAAAAAATCTGACTGGTTTTGCCCAACTGGGCAATAAAAAACATGAACGAATTTTTTATGTCATGTCATATTTTTCGTAGCAAATGAAAAAATATACGGTTATAAAAGAATTTGATACCTTTGAGACCATACTTTCAAGGTGTCATCACCATGACTCTGGTAAACAAACAAGCCACCAGCCCATTTCTCACTCTTGTTATATGGAGTAACCCAAATTTGGTTGTTGGTAAAAGCACCTCTCTTTTGTGGAGGATCATTCAGATCAAGCAAATTAGCTGCTGTGCCACCGGGAACCAACTTATAGCCCACTGGATTTCCGACCCGCGTCTTCTTGCTCGGATTAACAACATGGAATTCTGATGGATCATACAACTTGAGCTTGATCTTCGCGTCTTTTTCCGTCTTTGCTACTTTTCTTACCGCTTTCAGGTAGCTCATTCTCGGAGATTCTCCGGGCGAGGTATGTTCTCGTTGGAGATGGACGTTTACAAAGGAATTATCCGAGCCGTCGACGTCCATGTCGAGGTAGAATGTTATGTAGTGATCATGGATGACACCAATGACATTTTCAGACAAGAGGGTTCCATGGAGGTTTTCTTGTTCATTTACTTGGTTCATGTTGACATAAGGAGTGCCTTTCACCATCAATATTCCACTAAGGCCAACCTAGAAAACAAATGTGTGTACAAGGAATACTCTACATAAGCACTAAGATACAAAATTAATGGAGAAAAAAACATTATACACAGGCACTTGATTAAATTTTTGCTTTTCTATTTGGCTAAATGTGTTCTGGATGTTAATAGAATGCAAAATTAAACCCAACAAGTTTCTGAAAAATGTAGATAATTGTGATATTTAACAAAAGGCATCTACTCATCGTGTTCATTGAATATCAAGACATTTTCGATATCAGGACCCTACAAGAACCCGTAATTTTCCAAGTCTAATTGGTGTTTTTGATAACTACAAATTAGTCAAATCTCCCACTCAATGGTGAAAATCTCCTGCTGTGGCAGTGATACCGATTCTTTGCCAATGACTTTTCTCATTTTGGCAGCTTATGNTCCCACTCAATGGTGAAAATCTCATGCTGTGGCAGTGATACAGATTCTTTGCCAATGACTTTTCTCATTTTGGCAGCTTATGAATTCGGAATATAAAGGAAGATATTTCCAACTTGTGAAAATGATTGATAAAGAAACTTGTGAAAAGAGAGGCATTTGTATACAATTCAAACTTACCTTAATTCTGACGAGTCCATCTGTTTGGAACTCCCAATCTACTATATAATCGTAGTTGGCAACCGATGCTGCCATTCTCACCACCAACGTCACTTTCGGCCTTGCCTCTCGAATCTGCCAATAAGTCCAACAAAAGAAATCAATCCAATGATAACAAGAACATCTAGATGTATCGAGAAACTTGACGAGTCACTCGCCCACTACGTGTAATATGCGTTGCACCATACAATTCTTGCGCCGTAGTTAAGTATTTTCCTTGTCTTTGGTAATATTACACAACAAATATTAACGAAGGATTACCCTCGACGTGCAACAAGATATTTACTATAATTTTCAAGTGTCGTAATGTACCACAACAGTATAAAAATGAAAGAGAACTATATGAAAATAAGATGATCTATTTTACCTCCATGCCAGTAATTGGGCTCTCAGAGTGTCTCCATCCAATGTCACCTGCATAACTCTCGAACACACAAATCATGTTGGATCGGATATACGGTGTTCCATCGGCAGCTGCAAACACACCATCCATATAGTAGGCATTCCTCGGACAATCGTTAAGCGGGTCAAGTGGCATAGCCTGTAACCCGAACCCGTATTCCCCAGCATCCATGTAGGTCTTGAAGTACCAAGCATCACTAGGATCCATGTACGGCACGAACAATTCCGATGTATGCCCTTGGTACATCACACTCCTCATCTCTCCGGAACTCGGGTCCCGAAACATGACCCGAGAAATGATCGCCCCGGCTCTTGCATCCGGTTTTAGGTGGAATTCCCAGTTCGCCCACTTGACCAAATGATCGTCTTCTACTGTAAAACTAGGACCATTTGGTTGTTCAATTGATATCGGATTGACTAGCCTTTGATACGAATTTTGGACTGAAGAACGATAATCTGTGTTATTCGCCTTTGGTATTGGTATGTTTTTACCATTATCAGTTATTTTCAGCACTTCTTTCGTATCCAAATCAACGATGACGGTGAGCCCTTCAATAGGCCTCATGTAAAAGTTGGCAGTATCTTTCATGGAGTAGCATTGCACTTTGATCAACCTTCGGCTCTCCTCGGCCTTCCCTATAGAAGAAACAACGCGACTAATACTCGACTTTAACATCTTAATGTCACATTCATCGCAGAACATTAATCAATTCATATGTAAATTAAGCCCCTGTTTGACAAACAGTGTTTCGAAGAAAATGCATTTTGAAATAGTAATTTTTGGGATAAGGTGGGTTAAAAAGTAAGAAAAAGTTTCCAATTTACCAGTGAAAAGTTTTTTTTTTCATAGGGTGAATGTGTAGTTGAAAATGATTTGAGAAAAAAAGAATTCTGAGAAAATGGATGACAGGGACTAAATCCATACCAAACCAGCCAGTTGAAATGGGCAAGCATGAAAGATCAATCAGATCAACCCCACGCTCAATGACCGTCCGATTAAAATCAGCACTAGCGAGTGGGGCCCAAATGACTGAGTTCATATCCTCAACGGTCATAGTTGGGTATCCGGAATATTGATTCGTTTCGTGCTGGCTCACCTCACCCGTAGAAAGGTCCACCGTCAGCACGTGCGAAACACGACGCGCACGTGCGATGACGGAGGCCTTTCTCGCCGGGAGTGGGTCTCCCTTTTTCCAATTGAGCGCCGCCTTCTTTTCCGGCTCTTCGAGTACGACGGAGTGAAGGGCATAGACTGAGTTCTTAAACAGTTCATGGGATTGGATGATTTTTTTGACTCTGTTGAATTCTGTGAGAGTGAGGGGGTCTAGAGGGTGGTGGGGAACGTCGGCGGTGTGGCTGTTGGGTTTTGTTATGGGGTTTTTGGATTGGATTCTGTTCTTGGGGGTGCACCATAGGGAGCTGGTGGTGCAGTCTAGTAGCTCCGCCTTGGACGGCGGAGATGGAAGGTTTAGCAAAGTGAAGAACAAGAGTAAAACTATGGCGGAGAGGAAGAACAAGTAGCGAAGTAGATTTTTTCCTTCCATCTCTATCTAGTACTTACTATCAGTGGTTTATGAACTGTGTGTAGTGGCTGCCAGTATACATCCACGTACAAATATAGGCTTTGTTAGGGGCATTTTTTCTCTTTTTTAATTTTAGGGGGCTTGTCTGGCATTCTCAAATTTTACAGTAAATCAATTCTCATTTTGCAACCACACATTTTTCATTAAAATAATATTTTTCATCACATCAATAATTTTTTCTTCTTTTTCAATCACACATTTTCCATTATATCACTATTCAAAAATCAATTATTCCTCCAAAAATCTCAAACAAACACCCCC